GAGGGGAAAGACAAACACAAAAGTGCTGAAAAAAAATAAAGAAAATATGAAGAAGTTATAAGTATAAATGTAGATTATCCTCTTGCTCTATGGTTACTTTCATTTTTTCTAGAATCTCTTGTTTTTTTGAATCATCAAAACCATATATCAAAAGTGCTGGCTGGGGAATTCTGGGAGTTGAAGTCCATACATCTTCAAGCTGCCAAGGTTGAGAAACCCTGCTCCAGCCAACTAATAAATAGCAAATCCAGCTATTTATTTACAGCTCAGATCCTTAATCAAAGTCGGTTCCTGTCTTTGTCTTTTCAGGTTGGCTGCAAAGCAGCCATGGTTTTTTTCCAGTACTGCATCATGGCCAACTTCTTCTGGCTTCTTGTCGAAGGCTTATATCTTCACACGCTTCTAGTCATCTCCTTCTTTTCAGAGAAGAAATACTTCTGGTGGTACATCGTCATTGGCTGGGGTATTGTGTCTTGTTGTAAACCTTCTTTCCCTACCCAGATGCCTTCCAAACATTATTATGATGTATTATTATTATTATTATCTATTATTTATTTAGATTTATTGGCTGCCCAGCTCCAGTGGAGTCTAGACTTAGACCTTTCTTCACCCCTAACATGCTTGACCATGAATGATGGGGCAGTGACCTCCAGGGCAGGCTTGGAGATGGTGTCCACTTTTTCCTTAACGCACTAGCGCTTTTACAAGGGAGCCAAGATGTTACAATCTTGATCCTGCTGAACCCCAGTTTGGAAATGGCCTTTTTAATTCCCCAAACGTGGTCCAAAGAGATCCCTGTATGTGGGATCTCTTTCAATGTGAGCATTGAAGCAGGCCTGAAGTTGAGTCAGGAGACTCAAGGAGATCCAGTCCTCTGGGGGACATTTTCCATGCCTGCCTATACAGTCATATTCCAACTGGTTTCCAGAAGCAAAATAATGTTGGGGTGCTAATTTAGCTGATCTTCTTGTGCTTGCAGGGCGTGCAATTCTAAATGTGTCCAATCTTTAATCCTCTATTGGCAGGTGCGCCAACGCTTTTCATTTTTGCTTGGGCCATCGCGAGGATCCACTATGAAAATACCAGGTAAGCATGCCTGTCCATCCTGGTTTTATCCAGTTGAAGGAGAATTTGGATGAATTAGGAAAACCTGAACAGTGCTTCAGATGCAGGTGCTTTGGAATGTGGGAATGCCCTTTAAAGCAGTGTTGTCCTTTTCTGGGACCGCACAGCCATTGCGGGGAGGTTTCCATGGCATCCACTCAGCCCTGGAAACAGATGTGGCTGTTGGAAGGAAACAGAGGATGGTGCTGAGTTTAGACCCGTGTTTCTCAACCTCAGCAACTTTAGGATCTGTGGACTTCAACTCCCAGAATTCCCCAGCCAGAAGAGGGAAGAGAGGAAAAACACAGCCAGACCTCCAAGATTCTGCTATTATAGCCTTTCTCAAACAAACCTTAGTTAGAGCCTTCCTGTGGTCAGTTTCCTGACCTGGACAACCTCCGGGGGCTAATGTCTACAGCCCGATGGCATCTCCTCCCTCAAAAATGCATTTGGGTGGGCTTCTGGGGGAATCTGGCCATTGATTTTATTGGTTCCACTTTAATCAAAGTCCTATTTTTCTCTGTTAGCTTCCTCCACCACTCCCTTTGTATAAATCCAGAAAGCCTGACCTCTAATGATTTTTTTTTTCAGTTGCTGGGACTTAATTGAATCTCCCTATTGGTGGATCATCAAAGCTCCCATTTTGGTTTCTATATTGGTAATGTATCTGTGTGTGTGTGTGTTTCCCACCATCTAAATACCTTTAATTAACCTCCTGTCATCACTGTAGTTTGATTCTGTGCAAATAAACAATAATGGAGGTGATGTTTGCATAATGGTAGCCGGGAAGGAGAGGGCTTGTGAATCAAGAAGAGAACTGGAGGAGTTGCATCCTTCACAAATATAGATAATATTTGGCTCCATGTTCTAACCCTGAGGGAGGGAGAAAAGCTTTTCTCTATCCACATTTCCATTGCAGATTGATTATGTGCCATCAAGACAGTGTCAACTCTTGACGACCCCATAGATAGATCTTCTCCCAGGCAATCTGCCCCCAACCTGGTTCTTCAGGTCTTCCACCATCGCCACTATAACTGAGTCCATCCCCCTTGTTGCTGTTCGTCCTCTTCTTCCCTTTCCCAGCATCAGAGCCTTCTCCAGAGAGCTTGGTCTTTACACAAAGTATCCAAAATATGATAATTTGAGCCTGATCATTTGTGCCTCGAGTGAGAACTCTGGGTTGATTTCTCCGATGGTCCATCGGTTTCTTTTCTTGGCTCGCCATGGTATTCTCAGGAGTCTTCTCCAACACCCACGTTCAAAAGCATCAATATTCTTCCTCTCCTGCTTCTTCAAAGTCCAACTTTCATTTAAATTGAGCATCACAGGGAAGACCACGGCTCGCATGATTCTGACCTTTGTGGGTTTAGACCCATTGCAGCATCTGAATATTTTCTCCAAGGCTGCTCTACCAAGTGCTAGTCTGACATTTGGATTACCTGTATCATTTCATACTTGGATGAGAGAGCACCAGGAGATCCCAAGGCTGTAGAATAGAGTGACAAATTGAAGAACAATCTGGAAGAAGGCAACTGGACTGTTTTGCCCTGTTGCCAAGCAAATCCGCTGAGAGGAACAAAGAAAAAAAGAATGGGGATATGGAATAGTACTGGTGCTTTGGAGGGTGTAAAAGGTATCTCTCTCTTGGATTTCATGCCTCAATTATTCTGTAGCGCTAGTTCTTGCCACTCACTTGAAAGGTCACCATCACTTAAGTACAGAGCCTTGTTCTCTTGTTTGTTACCGAGAGTAAATCTTTTGTGAGAAGATCTGCAACAGGCGGAAGGGAGGCATGTACGCTGATTTTTCTCAAATAAATCAGCCGAGGATTATTCCTAGCAGCTGGTTCTGTCTGAGACGACGTTTTAAGTACGGTAGGCGTCGGTTTGTAGCAGGTTTAAAAGCGCACTATTCGTGTGCATTTATCCACGGACTGTTGGGCTTCTAATGGGCAGACCATTTTCGTTATCAGCCCTCAAAGTGTATCCAAAAAATAGGCTGGAATCATCGCTGCTTTTTTGGAAGCATGAAGGAAACCCAACCTGTCTTCGGCATTGCTCTGAAGGCTAACTGGAATTATTTGTTTTCCTTAACCTGTGTTGACAAGCACGCACGCGCCGATTTCCAAAAATAATAGGCCCAATTTACGAGAAGAATTTGTTTTATTCTGGCAAAGTCCAAGAGGAACGGGAGTATTATCACTGCCTGTAGAAAGAAACCAGGAATTTCTCCTTGCAAATGTGTATGTATGCAGGTACCACCAGGAAGCGAATTAAGTCTTAGCTGCTTAGAAATATACTCAGAATTGTAAGGGAAGTGTCTTTGAGGACCAGGAAAACAGTGTGGCACGCAGCAACCATCTTAAGGACAGGCTTTTTCCAAGAATAGAGTTTGCAGAGTCAAAGACAGTTGTCCGTAGGGTGGTTTCCTGGTGTGGGAATGTGGTCTTCTTCGCCCCGCAGTCTTCTCCACCAAGCTCTGTCTCTTGACGAACCCCAGATGCTCTCGGGATGGGGGAGTCCACCTTGGCCTGCAGTCGACGTTGATGTCGTGCAAAGCTGTGCTCTGTGGGTTTGACATCATCATACTTGGGATGTGCTAACATTAAAACCCCAAGCAGGTTGATGTCTGGCCCAAGATGGCTGCTGCCCGTTCATGTTTGATCTTATCACTCATGGAGCCCAGTTTTTCTCCTTGTGGTTTGAGGACCCACCCAGTTTTTCTCCCTACTTTGGGGACCCCCCAGTTAGACTCAAAATGTGTACCAGGTGGAGGTCCCGCTGGAGGAGCATCAGTTGATAAGCTTGTCCAACTATGGTTCAGCTGCCTATCTTCTCACCCATCTGCCCTGGAGGGGTGGCAAATTCTGCAACTGTGGACAGGTTGCCTCAACTGTTTCCAAACATGTGAGGGCGGAAAGCAGGGGCATCTGTGGGAGGGGGGTCAAAAAAGTCAAGATGGTGGCCATGACTAAATGATCAAAGCCCCACTCCTGTTTTTATACACATCACATCCATGACACGTGTTAAAAAAAAACAAACAGTAGATCATGGTGGGGTTTCGACTGCACAGTGCTGGCTACCATCTTGATTTTTTTGACCCCCCTCTTGTGACACTCCTGGGCTTTCATGTTGAAGGAATGTGTGTAGAGATTCCCTTTAGGTCTTCTTAATGAATGCAACTGAGCCCAAAGATAAAATTGGCAAAATATAAGAGATTAATACAGGATACAAAGTCAGCACATTGGGTCTTTGCTCTCTACGCACTTTTTCTGAAAAACGTCTGAGAAAAAGACTATCGATGCTCAGGCCGTTCCACTTGGTCACTGACTGACTGGGTCCTGCTCACGACAAGGAACTTAACTCTCCTTTTTTAAACATTTCCTCGGCAGATCAACTTCATTCTCTTCATCTGCATCATCCGGATCCTCGTTCAGAAACTTCACTCTCCAGATGTCGGACGAAATGAAACAAGCCAATATTCGTAAGTCCGGAGCTCCGTTTGGAGGCTGGGGTCACCTGTAGCTGACAGCCCCATGAGTTGGTCCCCTGGATCGAACTCAGATCAGGGACCTCCACGGGGGGAGTCCAGAAAGATGGGGGGTGCAACCATGACGCCCCACCCCATTTTTACGTGCACCACAGAATGCACGTTAAAGAGGGTGGAGCGTAGACCACACAGCCACCATCTTTAGTTTTTTGACACACGCACCCATGGACACCTCTGGTCAGGGTGCTCCTCAACTCTGTTTTATTTGACCCTCTTGGAAGGAGGGGAGAGAGAGCGGGGTGCTCCCTGTCCTCCTTAGAGCCTTCCCCCCCTCCAAATCTTCAATGCAGAGTCATCCTCGGAATAACCCCCCCCCAGCCATCTGCCATTTCCCTGCTGTTAGCAGCCACTGCGAAACCTCTGGACTCACCGTCTCACATTATGAGGCCCACCACCATCTTCCTCCATCTTGCTGGCAGTGGTTCCACGAAAACCTCTGATTAAATCAGCATATGGAACATCTGTCTCCAGGCAGAAGCAAGGGCAGCTCTCACAGCTACAGAGAATCTACTTCTCTCCTGGCGCTCCAGCCTTTAGATATTCATTAGCTTAAGACTCTGGGCTACATCAGCTTAAAATGAATAAGCAAAGCAGGACAGGAGAGTTAAGATGGGCAGACGAAAGAATTCATCATTCAGCAGATGGGGCAATCAGCTACAGTGGATGAACATTGCTGGCCCATGGACATGTCCCCAGTGCCAGATTTGTTAATGCATGGAGGCAAGGAAGCTTTATCTGCCACCACCACCCCAAAAAAATCAACGGGCCTTTTGCTGCAAATGGCAGGAGGCAGGGCAATGCAGAATATCATAAAGTTGAAACGTAAAGAGTCTTTTCAAGATCCAGAAGAGAGGGAGCTCATCTTCCCAGCCTTCAGGCCAACACCTTCTTCATGAGCACTGTTGAATACGGCAGTGCTTCAGGTTTCATTTGGGAGGAGGTGCTATGGAACGCACCAGAAAGCAAACACAGTGACCATTAAAGCAGCTGCGTCTCCTGCTGAGTGGCCCTGGAAAACGACACCCCTGCTTTAATGAGCCGCGGATAGGCTCTGGGTTAGTGTTGCTGCATGGTCCAACGCTTTGCCCAGCTCTGCTGTTAATAGGTAGAATGACTTCCAGAATAACAGAAGATGCAAAAAATATGAATCTCTGACCTGAGTTACTTGCAGTTCTCCCCTGTGCTTCCAGAGGAAACAATTTGTCTAGCTAGCTTAGTCCTATGATGGCTTCCAACAAGATTGGTTTGGAAGGACGTTGTGACAATAGTCACATCCCTGAACCTCTTTCTCTGCTGCAACATCCAGAACCCATACATTTAGCTTGAAAGACTACTCCTGCTTAACCAAGATGGTCTTTTCTGAACTTGCAATTTTAATTCTTCTAATTCCCTTTTCTGTAGCTCCAGTGAATTTCTCCCAGCTGTTTCAAAACGAATCAGCATGTCTAATGCAGTGTTTCCCAACCTTGGCAACTTGAAGATGTGTGGACTTCAACTCCCAGAATTCCCCAGCCATTGTGCTGGCTAGGGGATTCTGGGAGTTGAAATCCACACATCTTCATGTTGCTAAGGCTGAGAAACACTGGTATAATGAGTGACACAGCCCTCCTAAACCCAAGTCCTCAAATGACTCCAACTACTGTTCCCTTCCTCCCCTTTTTTTTGCTGGGGAGTTTGGGAGTAGAAGCATCCAATGCTACAGTTCATGCAGTTCTGACTTACGAAGTCTCCAGGTTGAACACCAGCTTGGTCCTGAAACTGAACAGGTGGCCTTAAGCCAACATCCATCTGTAAGGCTCTGTTGTGTAACTAAGTTAGGCTTGGCTGGCTGGGTATTCTGGGTGCTATAGGCCCATCTGCTCTAAGAGCCCTTTGAACAGTTGTAGGCTTCGATGAGCTGAAATGAACCTGTTTTGATGCTGGATCTCCATCTGTTCTTGTTCCTGTTTTCCTGTTTTTCAGGAGACTTGCCAAATCCACCCTTCTTCTGATCCCCCTATTTGGTATCCACTACACCATATTTGCGTTTTTCCCAGACACGGTAAAGAAAGAAGTTCTGGACGTCAAGCTGGTCTTCGAACTCATATTGGGGTCCTTCCAGGTGAGCCTTTTGCCACGTCAGCCACCACCACCATCCTATAGGAATCTTGTCCTAGAAGGCTCCTAACGTAACTCCTACTGCCTGAGTGATGTCTGAGAGATCTTGGGGTTGCTTTTGTCAAGAGAGGTGTGGATGGCGTTTTATGGCCAGGGGTTGTCAACCGTAGGATCTCCTCCCAAAGCAGTGGATATTGAGATGTGTCCAAAAGCAGTGTCTTGATCTATCTGGGGCAGAGGTTTGCATATCTCCCTATGTGTCCTCTCCATATGGTGTCATAACAACATAAGAACCTAATCCATGCCCTGCTGGATCGGATCCCCAGCTCATCTAGTGCAGCCATCTGTTCTCCCAGTGGTCCCACAACTGCATAAGGAAGCCCACGAGTCTTCCAGCAGATGACCTTCAGAGGAGGAGGAACGATGACAACAACATAAGACCATAAGCCGTGCCCTGCTGGATGGGAACCCTGGCCCATCTAGCCCAGCAGCCTGTTCTCCCAGCGTCCCACCAACTGCCCAAGGAATCCCACCAGTCTCCCAGCAGATGGCCTTCAGAGGCCATCCCACCACCATCAAGGCTAAAGCTGTTGATCCCCAGGACTTCCATGAATCGGTCCAACCCTTTTCAGAAGCCAGCCAAACTGGTAACCAGCACCACATCTCGTGGTAGCAAATTCCAAATCCTAAACCATTGCCCTGCAGCCACTCACTGAAGATGGTTGAACTTCTCCATTCTGTTCACAACTAGCAACACTGAACATTACTGTAGTAGTATGAGTGTCACATGCTAGGCAGGATGTTGGGCTAGATGGTCTCCAGGAATACTTCCAGGCTTAGAGTCAATTATTCTATGGCATGGATTGTCTTTTCATCAAATATTTTAGGGGTGGCATTTTCTGGAGATGCTTGAAAAGCAACAATTCACCCCAGCTATTATTGTTATACCCCTCACATTTCCCCAAAACCCATTTGAAGGCAGGAGTGTGTCACCTGAGGTTCCTTGGCTGTAAGTGGTCTCCTGGAAACCTTGGATGAGGTCCAGGGGGTCCTCTCAGAATTCTTACCAAATAGTAAAGTTGAGTGTCATAGGACAAATGTCTTGTATGTCTTAAACACAGAATTAAGACTCATCTTAAGTGTAATGTAATGTCCTTTTAAATAAATCCATTAGATTTGCAGTGTGCCCTTGCCACATCCACTTTGGCCCTGGACCCATCTACATTTTGGATCGTGACCCTGGATCATTTTTTGGATCCAGGGTCACGATCCAAAATGGGGATGGGCCACAAAAGTGGCCCATAAAATGTTGCTTTGGGGCACTATGGGGCACTTGGTCACCTCAAGGAACAGCAGGAACATTTTTGGACCTTCTTACTTCAGAAGAAGAAAGATGATGCTGAACGTCTTCAGAAACATTCTCCTCAAAGGATTTCTCTGAAAATAGCAACCCCATCTACATTCAGCAGCCTAGATTGAAGATTGTCCAACTTGGCTTAGTTTTATGTGAAGAACCTCCTTGAAGTTCTTTTATTTTGCCAGAATGCACATTAATGTACATCTTGTCCTGAACAGAGGTAGCCTGGTTGGAATCTTTCTCCTCTCTTCCAACTTTCTCTTTCAGGGCTTTGTGGTGGCTGTCCTGTATTGTTTCATCAACGGAGAGGTAAGACCAAAAGTGTGCTTTGCCAAGGGGCGTATCCAGGGGCTTGCCGAGCAGTTAAACTTGGCTTCACCTGTTAATCATCTTCCTTTTCCTTGCGTCGTCAGCTAATGCATAGATTAAATTTAATTACATTTGCTTTTTAATTTCGCAAGGTCAAGCAGGGTCTTTATGAAAGAGCTAGGATGCATCGTATAACAACTGACAGTAAGAATTTCTCCAATAGTCAGGGAGACGTACCCCAGGGCCAAAGCCTTATCTCCATAATTATGAAGCAAGGCCTCTCAGATAACTGGCTGATGTAAGATAAAACTAGCGTCTTAACTCGCAGTGCCTTTTTTAATTACTGCTCCATCTTAATGCACAGTTGCTCTTATTAAATTTTAGCTTCCAGATTAGTGCCGTCGAGCACAGAATGTCAACCAAATGAACTTGGTCTTTAAAATAAAACCCGCCTGGAGTGGAGCTGGCAGCTGCACGGCGATATCCCTGCCATTTTCTTGGCAAGGAAGTATCGCTGTCTTCCTCCAGGATTTCACTTCATTTCATTTCACTTGGCTTGATTTTAATTTATTTTCCTGGGATACAAGAGTCTCTCCAACAGCCTAGGGTTTCCTCGTGGTCTCCCATCCACTAACCAAGCCTTACGTTGTTTAGTTTTGGAAGATCAGCTAGGGTTGGCTTTGATAACTGTTACTTTCCTACTCAAAACTGCCCAGAATCGCTGGGAGTCAGGCAGCATATAAATTTAATATATTATTATGGTTGCTGTTGGTGGTGGTGGTCACACAGTCAGCCAGATGTTTAGAGTGCATTTGGCATTTTTGTCCACCCACTGAGTCCTTTCCAAGGACCTGCGAGGATGATGAAGATGATCCTTCTAAAAAGGGGGAGAACCCTAAGCCCTGTGGAATTCCACCTTAAGAGTATCTAAGAGCCTATCCCCGACCCCCAACATGACCACCCACTGGATCTGCCTGCTTAGGTGTGGCAGAAAATGTACAGCGGTGGTGATCTTCTCCCCTCCATCTGATGCAGCTAATTTTCCTTTTCTTTTTGCTATTCCAACATCTTTATTTACCATGAAGTCCATTGGAATCCATTGGAGCTAGGCACCAATTATTATTATTGTTATTATTTTAATCAATTGAAAATAATAATATCCCACCTTTATTTTTTACAACTCCAATTAACGAGTCCAGTGCACTCATCTCCTATTTTCCCTACAACAACAACCCCGTGAGGTGGGCTGGGCTGAGAAAGAAGGACTGGCCCAGTTGGTTTCCTGTTTAAGGCGAGTCTAGAACTCATGGTTTCCTGGCTTCTGATCCAGCCCCTTTAACCACCACGCCATATTGGCTCTTGGGCTGAGAGGGAGGGGCTGGCCCTCAGTCCCCCCAGGGAGCTCTCATGGTTGAGGAGAGACTGGAACCCAAGTCTCCCCACTCTTGGTCCATCTCCTTCCCCACTGGGCCACACTGACTCTTGGGCTGAGGGAAGTCATTAGCCCAAAGTCATCCAGT